TTCTCTCTCTCTCTCTCTCTCTCTCTCTCCTTCTCTTCCCCCTCACACCATTGTATATGTATTTTGTGAACCCATGAGGGTCTCCTTCCGTCTTCCATGCAATTCCCCTTCTCCTTCCCTTTCCCTCCCTCCTCTTTTCCTTGTTTCGTGGTAATCTTCTTCTCATGCTCTTCCTTCCTACTCTGTTTTGAGTCACCTCCCTTATATCAGAGAAGACATTTGGCATTTTGTTTTTAGGGATTAAACGAGGGCTAAGGCTCATTCAGGCTTCATATGCCCAAGGCCCTAGGTTTGATTAAAACAAAACAAAACAAAACAAACAAACAAACAAAAAACAAACAACAACAACAAAAACCCCAAACCCAGAAGGCTGAGTCATCATTCTCTTTCATCTGAGAACTGAGGTGTGGTTTAATGACAGCCATCACAGGGCCCACACAGAGAGTGAGCACTGTTGGATCTACCAGTCCTACTGTGTGAGACACCAACCCAGATGATATCATGTGAGCCCATTGGGCCCTGCCCAGATTCTTAACACACAGAATTATGAGGGATCAAAAGGATTGATGTTTTGAGTTTTGGTGTACTCTGTTACACAGCTGTGGCTGACCAAGACACACTTACTAGGAATAGCCCAAGTTGGAAAGATTCATAGACTCATAGTCCATGGTTGAACTCATAGTCCATGGTTGAATCCAAGAATGCTAAACTCATGGATATGAGAGCGATCTGGCTGCGACCTCTGTCACCCCTTTGATTGCCAGATCAGATTCGGCTGATCTAGCTGGCTAGGCAGGTGTCCCCTTCCTCCCTCACAGTTCCATGTGTGTCCCTCTGGAAGCTGAGTGCTCGGTTGGTTGAAGAGGACGACCTTCCCCAATAGAGGAGGACCGTTCTTCCGTCAAGGGTATATGAGTAGCTGCTCCCCACCCCCCCCCAAAAAAAAGCCCACAGAGGAGAAGAGAAGGTAAGAGGCAGGTGCAGAAGGAAACCAATTCAATGTGGAGAGAAAGATGGAGCTAGTTCTGTGCCCGAGGGATCAGTAAGATAGCTTGGTCTTTAGAGAAGAAATTTGCATGACGTGTGCACATGTGCAAAAAAGTATTTGTTGAATAAACAAATGAATTCATGAGACAGTTGGCTTTCCTGTTCTACTTATCTCCATTCCATGGGCAAAATACATTCCTCTCAACTGTGTCAGCTGTTTTCTTGTTTATCTTGTGAGCCACCTTGTGCTTCTAATAATACTTCTTTGCTGTGTTTGTTCACTGTGATTGAAGTGGTTTTCCCTGAGGAAAATGTCAAGGATTCTAGAATTCTTATACAGGGCATACTGGGAGAAGGATACTGATTGAAAGGGAGTCTTAAGGGATGTTTATTTATTTATTTATTTATTACTGTGGTGCTAGGGAGTGAACCCAGGCCTCACATATTCTAGGTAAGCTCTCTACCACTTGAGCTACATCCTCGGTTCTAGTTTTTTTTTTTTTTTAAAAATACATAACCTATATATAGTAGAATACAAAACCTTAATTGTACAACTCAATAAAAATTTCCATCTGTAGCTAGGCATGGTGGCCCACGACTATAATCTCAGTGGCTTCGGAAGCTGAGACAGGAGGATCACAAGTTCAAAGCCAGTCTCAGCAATTTAGTGAGACCCTGTCACAAAATAAACAATAAATAAATAAATAAATAAATAAACAAACAAACAAACAAATAAATAAATAAATAAATAAAAAGAGGCTGGGGATGTTTTTTGTTGACAGTTTCTGGGTTCAATCCCTGGTATCAAAAAAAAAATGTATACACAATAAAAGCACCCTTCAGATAAAATTCTGGAATGTTTTCATCATTCCTGAAGATTCATTCCCTTCTGCTCATTCTCAGGTGAGACTTCTGCCTACTGAGACAACCACTCCACTGACTTCTATTATTATGATTTTATTAACTTGCTCTTAAATGTTATATATATGAAATCATGCAGCACAATTGCATCTGATCTTATATCATAACCTTATGTTACAACATAATTTGGGAGTCATCCATGTTGTTGGGTATATCCTTAATTTTTTTTTTTTTTTTTGGTGTGTGTGGTGCTGGGGATTAGAACCCAGGGACTTGTGCATGCAAGGCAAGCACTCTACCAATTGAGCAACATCCCCAAACCCCATAATTTGTTATTTTTAATTGAAGGACTATATTACAATTTATTTATCTTGTTGATGACTATTTGTTCCAGTTTGGGGCTGTTATAAATAAAACTGTCATGGACATTTTTGTACATGTCATTTATGGATATATGCATATATTTCACTTTGGTAAGTATCTAGAAGTGAAATTACTGGGTCATAAGGGTTGGACATACATTTAATGGATATTGTCTGAAAGTTTTACAAAGTCAGTAAACTAATATACTCTCTCTCTGGCAATTAATGATTTCCAGATGCTCTATAGCATTGTCAACACTTAATATTCTCAGTCTTCCTTATTTTAGTCATCCTATCTGGTACATAGTGGTATCTCATGGTGGTTTCAATGTACATATTCACCATGAATTATGAGGTTGAATACCTTTTCATGGACTTATTGGACATTTGGATATCCTCTTTCCAAGGTGTCTGTTGAAGTCATTTGCCCATTTTCTAATTGACTTGTCTTTTTATTGATATATAGGTGTTTTATTTTATTTTTATTTTTGTATAGAGGATTGAATCCAGAGGCACTTTACTACTGAGCTATATCCCTAGCCCTGCTGCCCCCCCTTTCCCATTTTTTTTTTTATTTTTAGACAGAGTTACTCTAAGCTGCTGAGGCTGTCCTACAACTTGTGAACCTCATGCCTCAGCCTCCTGAGTCACTGAGATTACAGGTATGCATCACCACACCTGGATTATAGCAGTTCTTTATATATTCTAGATATGAACCTTTTGTCACATATATTGAGAGCATATACTCTGTCTCTGAATTGCCTATTAATGATGTCTTTTGCTTAACATAAATAATTTTAATGAACCAGGATTTACCTTAAAAATGTGTATATATGTAAAGTTATAATGATAATATAATGAATGCTGCAAATCTACCCCACACTTTAGATCTAACATGTGACCCCTACTGTGGAGTAGCATGCTCCTCCTTAAGTCAGTCTCCTCTTCCCTCCCTACTTCCTCAGAGGTAACTTTTACCTTACATCGTGTGTTTAACATTCTTATGCTTTTAAAAGTTATATTAGCTAACATGAATATATCTTTTCATTGGTTTGAATGTGTACCCCCAATTTATGCAAAAGTTAATTCACAATATAACAATGTTGAAAGCATGAACTTAAGAGGAGGTGTGTTTAGTACAGGAGCATTTTGCCTTCATGAATGGGTTAGTGCTATAAAAAGGGCTTGAAGGAGTGGGTTTGCCCCACCTTCTGTGAGATGAGAGTTCATACTCCCCATAGGAGGCAGCAAAAATGCACCATCTTGAGGCTGGGGATGTGGCTCAAGCAGTAGTGTGCTGGCCTGGCATGTGCCAGGCGCTGGGTTCAATCCTCAGCACCACGTAAAAATAAAATAAAGATGTTGTGTCCACCGAAAACTAAAAAATAAATATTAAAAAATATTCTTTCTCTCTTTTTTTTT